CCATCCCATCCCATCCCATCCCATCCCATCCCATCCCATCCCATCCCATCCCATCCCATCCCATCTCCATCTCAGTGGTTGAAACTCTTATTTGTATATTGTTAACTGAACTTCTCCCTGTCAAGTGTAAACTCATGGAAGTAGGGAGCTTAGATTGTTCACTGCCACAAAAACAGTCAAGAACAGACTTAACAAATAGAAGGTAGATGGAAAATCCAGTGATACAAAGATTTGGGTGAGTAGCATCAAGAAAAGTAAAACTACACTCTATCTTTCTTTTATATTGAAATAAACTTTTGCAGCAGTGCTGTTATTGAAAAATCAAGATTCCCCAGATAGCTAAGCTTATTTGCCTTAGTGGTAAACATACATCCAGATTTCCATCTAGCTTCCCACCAAGTAGAGCAAATTAGATGTATTCCTTCTTACTTACTTCTCACCAGAAGAACAAGTAGAATGTAGCCTGAAGGAGCTTGCTGGGTACTGAAGTGTGGGATAATGGCCTTTTTATAGCAGGTCCTTCAGGGAGGAGCCTGATGCTCTGATTCATTCTAACCAAACCCTAGTCCACCCACATCTCCACCTCTATTTCTCTAGCAACATGTTTACTTCTCAGCTTCCTTACGCACTCATCTATACTTGTTTTACCAAGTTCCAATTTAGATTTCCATAAACCCCATAAATGGGATATTTTATGGAATGCTCACCTTTGCAGTCATAGGTTCTTTGTGTGCAGAGTCCTCATTGTCTCCTTTTTTTAGTAAAATCTCCCCCCTTTGACTTGGTAGGTACTTGAAAAGTATCTGTTGATTAATATGTTTCCTTATTATCCCTTAGAGGTATAAAATATACATTTGTGAGACATTTAAATTCAATTAATGATAGGAAATATTACAAGCACCTACTTCAGTGTCTCTTATCTGTGAATTTCATCCTTGCATAGTAAACTTTCTATGGAGTAAATATTAATCTTTTTATTATTATGGATGGAGAGAGATAGGCAAATGTTACTTTGGTTTTTTCAAATGAGCATAAAGGGAGTGTATTCTTCAGTTAGAAGCAGGGATCATTTAGAGGTAGCTTGAGTTTATTAGGTAAGAATCCTTGCTCTGATTTTACCTTGTGTTCAAAGTTACTGCATTGGAGTAACATTGGCATGTTCTAGATAACATGGGGGTAAACTATGATTTTCTCATTTATTCTCAGAAATATATGAGAGACTCCTGTCCTTGCCTCTTCAATTATCAGCCTGTTATACTGAGTAGATTCCATCTTCACTGGGATGTCCCATAGTTACCTCCTCTATACTGTTGATACTGAAGCATCATTGTTTTCTATCCCAAAATGACTATCCTTCAGAAAATGCAGGCTAGTTAATGACATCTCCATCCGCGGAGTGTTTAGCTACAGTGTTCTTTGTTGTGTCTTCTCCTTTACCCCTTGTGCTCATGTCCCATCCTACTAATGCTACTTAAACTTATTTCCTCTATATGGAGGCCTCTTCTCTATCACTAGTGTTGCAATTTTAATTTTGGATCTCATCACCCCTCAATGGAGTATGTAAGAAGCAGCCTTTCTACTATTAGTTCACATCTTCATCTCCTCCTCATGTTCTTGCATCTGCTAACTCCTTCCTTATTTGATACAGAAGCCTCTTCATAAGGGAAGACCCTTACAATGGGCATGAAGCTCTGTCTTTCCAGCTGCCTCTCATACCACACATGCTTATAGGAAAGTCACTATAGACTGATGAATATAACCTGGATGAGCCATCAGTGATCCACCACTGTGCAACATGTCTATGTGCTGTTATCACCACCTGGAGAGTCCCTCAGCCTTTTCTTTACCCTTTAAGAGCTTCCAGAATCATCACTTCCTTCATTAACCTGACATCTCCAGGTAGATTTTGTTTCTTCTCACTTTCTGTATATCTCTCTCTTATAGCTCCGGTGATCTCTTATTTTAATTTCTATATGTATCTGCACTGCCCCTCTCCACATTTGTGCTATTACCCTAATACTGAAAAAATCAACTTTTATGTCATAAGACCCTAATATTACTGATAGTTCCTGGGACATGTTCAAATAATAGGTGCTGGGCCCTCCCTGTTGGCACTGCAAACAAGCTGCAGCAGCTTCAGTGCGAGTTTGATCCCCAGAGGTGACCTGCATGGCACACCAGACCTCTCCTGGCCTGCCGGCTACTCTCCTCAGCAGTGTACTTTGTCAGTTGACTGTTCTGCTCTCCACTCTGTCTCTGGTGAATCCTCTCTCTGCCCCTGCACCTCTGGCTTGTACCCCAGTTCTGTATGCATAAATAAATAAATTTTTAATAAATAAACAAATAGGTCCTGACCTGAGGTTAAATCATCTGAAATATTAAAAAACAAATAATAAGTGCTAGGGTTGTCTATCCTTGTTTAGACTTTGGAGAGAAATCTATCTCAGTTGTGAGAACTTTGTTTAAAGCCTAATTTCTTACCTTTATAGAGCATCAATTCCTCTTTACGTGGACCTTTAGTTAACATTCATCAAACACGGGGTTGCATTTTTCTTTATATCTCTTCAGTTTTATTGTCCTTGTGCCAGTAGTTGTTGTGCTTTTGTCTCTCACCATGTTGTAATAATATATACATGTAATATATATTGCATGTCCAGTCCAGTATGTGCCAAGTATGCACTGAGACTGTGCATGTGTTACTTACAATCCTATGAACAACCCCGTGAGGTCATTATTATCCTTGTTTTTGATATTATGAAATCAATAACAATTGGGTACCTAGTGTTACTCTCTGAGTAAGTTACAGAACTAGGATTCAATCCCAGGTCATTCTGACTATAACCCAACAATTTTTCACTATACTATGTTGCTCATGTGTGATTTTTTTGTTACTTTTAGTGTTTTAAATAGTGGATTCTCTTCATATGTCCTGAATCTGGGTGAACTAAATATGGATGTCATTGTTAGGGCAGCAGATAGACATGACCATGAAGTATGAGTGTTTGAGAAAGGAACACTCTAGAAAGGACAAGGATGGGGCATTCTGGGATCTGACATTTTATTGATCAGAGGACCTCACCTTGCAGATTGAGTCTAACAATCCAGCACTGTTTTCTTGACCATGTTCTGAACATTGTTTTTAATTGTTAACTTGGATGAAAATGTGAGAAGATGGCAGATAGTTGTCATACCCATAGTTCAAATCTCAGACAGTGAATTTTACTAGAATAATAATAAAATCCTGAAATTAGCTCTAAATTAAACTTCCTAAGAATAGGGTAGAAGATGAGTAAAAGAAGAATATTGTGATGCTGTATGATGTAGTAGATCAAATAGTAATGTTACTTTGGGCTATACTAAAATGGCAAATTAGTTGAAACAAAATAGCAGTGATATTTTTCATCCTGCATTTATTATATTTTTTCTGTCACTTTTTATTCACATGGTCACTTCTCAGTATGGGTATGTAGAACTTATATTTTTTTAAGATTTATTTATTTATGCATACTGAACTGGGGTATAGGCCAGAAGTGCAGGGGAGATGAAAGGATTCACCAGAGACAGAGTTGGGAGCAGAATAGGCAGATCAACGAAGTACACTGCTGAGGTGGTGAGACAGGAGAGGTCTGCAGTGGGCGAGACAGGAGAGGTCTGTTGCTCCATGTGGATCACCTCTGGGGTAGGGAATCGAACTCGTACAGAAGCAGCCGCAGCCAGCTTCACAGTGCTGTGTTTTAACCCACTGCGCCACTAGAGAGATCCCAGGTTATGTACAACTTAAGTGTTCTGAGTAAAGTGATTAGGATGATTAGTTACTAATCAATGAATGATTAGTTACTAGTCAATTACTTGATTAGTAACCAAGTAAGAAGCGGATGGGTGGGAGATGACTATCTGTCTTCAGTTTTATGAGTTGTTTAAAGACTAATTATACTTGGGTTGTATTAAAAAGTCAGGTAAATGATTTAAACTGATAATAAATTATATTTTCATTTTGTATAAGGAGGAATTTTTTAGTAATCAGAATCATCCAAACTTGAATTATTTTGTAAATAGTGTGTTCTGTATTGCTGCATAGATAATTTTTGAACTGATTACTGATTATCGGTTAGTCTATCTATGTCATATTGTAGTTGATGATCAGAAGGTCCAAATTTGCATGAATGATAAATAAATAAGTCAAAACCCAGACCAGGATCTTTCTCAGGATCTTTCACTCTTTGTATTGACACAAGTTACATAAGTAACTGGAGCTGCATTTGAGACAGGGATATTTTGGAGGAGGGTTATGTAGAGGATCAATGGGTGTGTTTCAGATAAATCCCTCTTTCAAGCTAAGAGCTGTGTTCCATGGCTCAGCTCAGATGACTGTTTGATCAGTGCAGTTTAAGTAACTATGGGGATAACAGAACAATTAATTCTACTTCATAGTACTAATAGGGAGATTCTTACTCCATTTCTTATCCCATAGCTAATCCCTCTTGTATCCTAGCTTTTAACATTTAGAATATCAAAGAAAATTTCCCCCTAAGACATTCAAATTACTGTGCATGGAATAGTGAACGCTAAGATGTGGGGCATCTTTTTTATCCTCAGAGAGACGAACTTATTCCTTGTTTTATTGTTACTAGGCAGTGAAATGATTTCAGAGGTATTTAAGGTGTCCACAGTTACATACTGTGTTTCTCAGGGTTTGTTAAGGGTGAAGGAAATTGCCCAAACCAGGAGTTATTGACCCAATACAAAATATAGGAATTTAATTACAATTATTCAGTTGGTTGACCCTCTCTTTTTTCTGTGAAAAAGGCTGAAAAGGCAGAATGTTGCCATATGGCCCCTGGGCTATAAATGTGGGTCAGGTTGTTATGACCCAAGGGAACAGCCCTTTGTGATGTGCGACTGAAACTGAGGGGTGAAGGGGCTGAAGGGATGTTGGAACTTTTAGTTAAATGATTTCTGCAGGAGCTGTAGTTATCTCCTGGGAGGAGCTGTTTCGGGTTGGAAATTTTCTAGGTTGAATATTCTTTGAATTCCTTAGCATAGTATAACTAATATTACTGCTTAGTCATGCAGTGGTTGAGCAGCACCTGGTAAGAACATCTTTATTTGCAGCTTGTATTTCTCAGGATAATGGTGATGGAAAGCATTCACTTGCCCTTCAGTTTCCTCTGTTTGAACTTTCTTTAGTCTCTTTATCAGTGCCCTTGTGCATTTATGTGCATGGAAAACTTTGTGTGAATTTTTTCAGGTATAAGCAACACATATGGTGCCAATCTGGATTTCCTCTTAGCCCACATATTCAATCTCAGGTTCTCAGTGGTAATTTGTTGAATATGGAAAGGGAAATTAGAAGTAACTGTCAAGGGCAAAATTTGAGAATGGAATTGAAGAAAATCTTGGCTTAGTTGTGACATGGTGTATTATTGAAATAACATCAACACATATTTTTCTAG